GTCGCTGGTTATCTTGGCCTTTCCCTTGAGGGTGGCAACGTAGCACTTGCGGGACTCGAGCTGGTTGCCCTGCACTACCCCGATGCCGAAGTCCGTTGGGAACTTCATGGCCAAATAGTAAGTGGACACCACACCTTTTAAAGCGTGGGTGATCGGCTGACCTACTATGGCATTGTAGGGGGAGGGAGTCGCGACCACCAAAAAAATCGTGACTGAGTCTTACTGTGCTAGGCCACGTGCCGACTTCCACAGGTATCGTGACCTTTCCTAGGGGTCTGACCTCTTCTCCGCTGAAGCCGACCAATGGGGTGTTCGCGGGCTTTAAGTCACTCTCTCGGAACTGGAGCTTGTTGAAGGCCGCTTTAAAGAGGATGTCTGCCGAACTGCCGGAGTCAATGAGTACCCGTCGGACTTCGAAGTCGTTGATCTTCATCTTTATGACTAGTGCATCGTCGTGGGGGTAGTGGACCCGCGTGCATCGTCTTCAGTGAAGAATATGGGGTCTTCAGTCCTAGGCCGCTTCAGGGGGGTTTCATTCTTCTCTGAAGGCCTCCCGGGTTGACGCGCGAGCTGCTGCCGAGGTGCACCCTGCCACGATTGATCCTCCAACGATCACGTAGATTGTTCCCCGAACTGGTCTTTCCTCCGGGGGCTGCTTCTGTGGTTCTACTGGCCGGCTGCTGGACTCGGGACGTCTTTGCTGTGTTCTCCCTGCCGACCTGGCTTATTACTATTATTATTATTGTGTTGTACAAAATTTCATAGATATCCGCGATGGATAAGTTCCTCTATCTCGTCGCGGAGATTATTACAATGTTCGGTGCTATGACCGTGATCCCTATGGAAACTACAGTACAAGTTTTTATTCCTCTCGTTCGGGTTTCCCTTCAGACGAGGTGGCCACTTTACATACGGGGTGTCTTTGATCGTCATTAAGATCTCGGCCCGCTTTGCGTTCAAGGGTGTGTAGTCTGTCCGAGCTGTTAAGGGAGCTCGGGACGGCTGGCTTGGCTTCGTCTCCTGAGCTGGGTCGGGTCTTTCCTTCTTCTGTCATCTGGGTTGGAGGGCTCGCCTTCCCTCTTCCTTTTCTCGATCCTGCTTTCAGTCATTTGATTGATCTCCTCCTCTGTTCTCAAGAATTTGTCTACGAGCTTGAGGAATTCAGCCATGGTCGCAGGTTGGTTAACTACCATGTGCCACTTGAACTCCTTGTGTGTCACGCCTCTATTGGCTGCTGCGAGCTGCACCGCGGGGTCTAGGCGTGGTATCTGCAAGCATGCATTATTGAACCGTTTGATGTAGCCCCGGATGGACTCTCCTTCCCTCTAGACTACTCCGAAGATGCTCTCCTCGGTTCGGGGGCACCGTTTGCTGGTAACAAAGTGCACGGTGAAGACCTGCACGAACTGGGTCCAGCTTCTCATTGACCTGGGGGCCAAGTTCCTGTACCAGGTGCGGGCCACCCCCTGAAAGTAGTAGTGAAGGCCACGCACATGTAGGATTCACTGGCCCTTGCCAGGTGCATTTGGGACTGGAAGGCGTCGACGTGGTCGTTGGGGTCGAAGGACCCATCATACTTGTCTAGAGAGGGGAGTTTGAAATCTCTGGGCATGGGGACTGCAAGGAGTTCTAACGAGAGGGGGGAGGAGACTGAGAGAATAGGGGCAGCCTTTACCTCGACCGGGCTTGTCTCTTCTTTACCTCAGAGCTCGGGTAGGATGTGGGTGGTAGTTCGACAACTTCGCCGGCGCCTTCGTTGTTGAGTGGGCCTGGTACTGGCGCTGCTGGCCTCGGTGTTGTCGAGCTCGATGGGCCCGAACTATTGGTAGTCCGCTGCTAGGACGCCGATTCGGTTCTCTGTAGGCGGGAGCTCAGACTTGGAGTGCCGAGGTGCTGACTTGGCTGGCAAGGAGGTTCCCGATCTGCCGGTGAGCTGTGAGGCGGGGGTGATTAGTCTTTCCCTCCAGGCCGGGGATGAGGCCTGGCTCTTAGAGAGGTTTTGAAGTTGGGAGGCTTCTCCTTGGTGAAGGCGTCCACTTTGAGGGGAGGGCTTAATCGGCTTTGGAGCCGGGTGCCTAGGTGGAAGTTGTGGTTGGTTTAGGGACAGTTGGGGGAACTATTGTTGATAGTTATACTGAGAGATGTGGTGCAGTACTTGGTGCTGCTGGAGCTGATGCTGCTGGAGCTGATGCTGCTGGAACTGCTGCATTTGGGCTTGCATTGCTCGCATGCACTGCATCAAGTCAGCAAACTGGTTTTGGCTAGTCGCTAGAGGGACAACAGTTGGTTCAGCAAAGGTTGTCTCGACAGGGAGAGGAAGGGGAACATTCACAGGCGCCACCATGTTTGGTGCGTTGAGGCTAGGGATTCCGTCCGTCGAAAGGGGGACGGTGAACTGTCCTATGCACACAGTGGTGGGCTGGGGGTGTTCCCCTACAGTATTCAGGTTGTGCCTACTGTTGCTGGGAGAACCCATGGAAGCTAAGGTTTCTTTGAGAGAGAGAGAGAGAGAGTTTAAGGTTAGGGGAGGCTTTTTGAAGTATTCCCACAGACGGTGCCAAATGATGATGAGCAATCCGGTCGGTCCTAGCTGCCGGTTACCTCGCTTCTGACGAGATCGGAGGTGCCTGAAACAAGGAAGAAAATGGAGACTTCCGGGGAGGAACCCGGTTGGAATACTCTGAAGCTCAAGTTAGTGCTTTTTCAGAAGGCAAGGGAAATGAGGAATTCTAAGACCAAAAAATGCAAGAATCACATACCCTCTTCTTTGTGAGGTGGGGGCCTTTTATAATCACCCTGTGTGCTCACTTCCATGCCTCTACTAGTTCGGGCATCATTACCTCTGCCAGATCGGGTCACTTCCTTCTGTCAACCGCTAGTTCGGGTGTCATAACCTCCACTGCCAGTTGTCCGGGCTGCCTCTATCCGTCTGGGATGGCGGTGGTAGGTGGCCATTGGATGGCGGCTGTCATGTGTTAGTCCTTTGATTGGTCAGGTGCGCCGCCTCCGTGTATGGTTTCCTGGGCGTCAGGTACTATTGCTCAGTCAGGCGATTTGGAGCTGAAGTGGTCTTTTAATGTGAAGTCTCGAGTTCAGATAGGAGTATGGCTCGAACTACCCCTAGGTGGGTAGTTCGGGTTTTTTGCCTTTGGTGCTCCTTGTATGGCTCAGGACTTCGAAGGGAGAGCTCGGGACTCTTTAGTTCGGAGCTCGGTTTGCAGGTTCCTTCAAGGAAGCTCGACTCTCTTTAGCTCGGAGCTCGGGTTGCAAGTTCCTTCGAGGGAGCTCGGCTCTCTTTAGCTCGGAGCTCGGGTTGCAGGTTCCTTCGAGGGAGCTCGATTCTTTAGTTCGGAGCTCGGGTTGTGGGCCTGCTGCCGTGCCGAGCTGGCGTTTTTGCCAGGTCACTCTCAGTTGCTTCCATGTGTCGCATGGCTGAGGGGTCGGGTCAAATCTTCCTCCATCACATATCACACAACATGAATCAAACATGCACTTTATTCATTTACACTAAATGTCAAAAGTACATCAAAACTGATTGGAGCTAAGGGCATACAAAGCTGTCTAACAGAGAGAAATAATATTCCCTTTTTCTCATCCCCATCCCACAAACCAAATGGAGCCTAAAGAAACTCAAAGCAGTTATCGAATTGAACGACGACACCATGATGAGTGATTTTGTTCATCAATCAGGAGGGATCGATGTGCTTGGCCACATTATTATCCAGATTCTAGTCGATAGCTCCGATTTCATGGCATTCCGAGCTTGTGAGGAAGCTTTGAGTGTTTTGCACCAACTCCCATTATCCGATGAATCATCGATTCAATTGTTATCGAAGTTCGAATGCATGAAATCCATGGCGATTATGCTTCAATGAAGTAACAACAACCTCTTTGTAAACGCCTCTACCTCTTTCCACTCGACCCTCTTGTTACTATTCTTCATTCTCATATGAGATTACCACAGATGACGGAAATCTAAACCCCAATTCGTCTGAAGAGGACGGATTCATTTTTAAGCTCAAGAGATCTCAGGTATCCGAGCAAAGGAAGCTGTGATCCCTCTGAGGAAGGTAACAAGAACCCAAGAAGAAATTAGGGCTACCCTTTGTACGCCTCGATTGTTGTCAGCCCTGCGACCTCTCCTGGTATCACGATATTCTATTATTCAGATAAACGTGGTGGTAGCATTGGTGAATCTATCCTTGGAGAAGATCAACAAGGTGAAGATCGTAAGGTCATGTAGGGACTGTACCACCATTGACCAATGTACTGAAATGTGGATTTGCTGAGGTGTAGGAACACGCAGCGAGTGTGCCCTCTTCAGCCTGGTGCTTGATGATGACAACAAAACGACAATAGGGTTTTAGGTGCGTTGCTGCCATTTCTGTACCTGCTCAGTCTGAGAGCGAAGAATATCGTGAAAATGGGTTTAATCCCGACGTTGTCAAGGGGAAGGAGAAGAAGAGAGATCAGAGGAGAGGGAGAGAGAGAGAGAGAGAGAGGAGAGAGAGGTTGAGAGAGAGAAATGTGAAGGAATCTGAGCTATAGGAGATTACTACCGTTGCTGTTAGTGTATTGTGAGGTCAGGGAAAATGAACAGTGTTTTTCTCATTTGAGGGTAATATGGGGATTAAAAAATATTACAACGGCCTTTTTGGACGAAAGGCTAATAGAATGGGGTATTTGTCTCATGGTCATAGTACAAAGGGGTCTTTGTGATAGACCTCATAGTACGAGGGGGTCTTTGTAATTTACCTGTAATATTATGTATTTTTATGAGCCCGGATCTCCTACCCACGAAAACCGGCCCACGTTTATCGCAGCCACATATGAAGAATATCTCATCCAATTCACAGGGGGTGGTGTATTGTGGGTAGGAGATCCGGAGTCTATTTCCATTCCGAGCATCGCAGGAATCCCCGCTAGAGTACGATACACCCGAGAGACTTGAGAGTACCCACTGAGAGCGCGTGCATCTAAAATGCGCTTCGGTGGTTCATCAAAGAATCATGCGCTACTTCGAATCATAACACCAGAGTTTTGACAGGCTGTTGAAGAAAGAGCGTTTCGTGTAGAATTTTGTAGAGAGAGGGCCACGTGGGTGTCTCGTCTTCTCGTCAATCAAATTTATCAGAGTTCCCGAGACGGGAGAGAGAGATATCAGAATCGAACTCCATTTAAATCGCGCCTGTGATGCGTGAATTCTGTCAGCAGCAATGAAAGGCGTCTTTTCGGCGCCTGGAGATTACATCCACTTCAAGTCTCAAGTTCCCCTCCACAAGATTACTGTACCCCTCTCTCTCTCTGAGAATAATGTTTTACTTGATTTTGCTTTTTCCTGCAACTTTTTATCACGGATTATTTCCTTGGCCTCATGTTACAAACTTACAATTGACTATCTCTCCGTTTCATCTTTTTCATCTCTCTCTATTACTAGTAGGTTGTCTTTGTCGAATACACTTTTGTTCTGTAACCACATGATCATTTCATGAATTGGGTTTCAGAAGCTTTCCTATAAGTTAATCCCCCTTCTGTGATTTCTTGAGCTTAGTACATATTTGTCTGATATAGTAATATATTATATTTATCAAAACAATATTGTTCAATTCCTAATCTTCTGTACTTTGTTTTTTTTTTTATTTTTATTTTCTGACCAATGAATTTAATCAACTTGAAATGTGTACTATGTTAAGACTGAAAAGTCACATTCGAGGTCTGTAAACTTAATGTTTTCAAAGATTATGTCTCTTAGCTTTCACAATGGCTAATCAATTCGGTTGTCTGTTCTTGTTCTTACTGGTTGTTGCTGGTTGATTTTCTTTTCTCCTGTTGCATAATATCATGCTTTTCAGTTCCTTGAAGGTGATTCTTACGTTCTACATTTGTTACAGCTCCTGAAAAAGAACTCACAACTTAGTACTGTTGTGATGGTTAATGATGCCTTTTTCTGACTAATCTCTTATTTCTTGTAGATTGGGTCTAAGCAGTGGAGATATTATGACTTTGGTCCAAAGGTTGTGCCTCCACTTATCTGTATCCCTGGGACGGCAGGAACAGCTGATGTTTATTACAAACAGATCATGTCACTGTCCATGAAGGTAGTACGCTTGAGATCATGATGTCATTTTGGTTATTGCCGTCAAAATAAATATCACACACCTGTGAGTATGAGCAATGGACTTAATAAGGAACAACTTAGAGTTTGTAGAGTTAGAGATGATTTAAGTGCTAATAATTTAACAATGGATATGACATTAAATAGAATGGACTGGCGAAACAGGATTCATGTAGCCGATCTCGTATTAGTTGGGATAATGCTTGGATGGTGATGAAGTCACTGTGGTAAAATGCGTTTGGTGGATCACTAGGTGATGCAGAGCCAAAGGTTAAGGAGAGGGAAGTCAAACCCATTCCTTTGCTAGATCTATATGGGTCTTCTAGTGGCTTTAACAATGGGCGAATTATTAGACTGTTACAAACCCATATGAACTTGATTCAATTCCATGAGCTTCAAAGCCCATACCTGCAGGCCCACATTCAAGACACCTATGGCACGTATAAACTTGGTCCCATTCTAGCAGATTTGGCCAACTGAAGTGGGGCATCATAGGAGATTTCCTCAATCAAAGATTTGATAGAGAATGAGAAAATCTTTTAGATTTATTCAGAGTTGAATTTTTTTCTTTGTTAGCAAATGTTTCCCTATTCAAGAAACATATCCAAAAAATGAGTGGCAAAACTGCATATGCTGAGATGGGTGACTGGGAAAACTAGAAAGGATAGGATTAGAAAGGAGGTTATTTGAAGGAATCTAGGAGTATCTCCAATAGGTGATAAAATGAGAGAAAGTAGAGTCAGTAGACTAAGATGGTCCAGTCATGTGCATAGAGGACCATCAACAACACCTGTAAGAAGTGATTTTTTTTTTTAAGTAGAAAGAAGTGATTTGTTGCAAATTGAAGGGGCTAGAAGGCCTATGGGTGGACCAAACAGGACATGGGTAGAAGCAGTAAGAATTGATTTAGGTGCCAATAATTTAACAATGGATATGACATTAAACAGAATGGAATGGTGAAACATGTTTCATGTAGCTAACTCCGCATAGTTGGGATAAGGCTTGGATGATGACAATGAGCAAATGTTTCCCCATTTAGTTGCATTTATTTTGTAGATCTCAAAGAGATTTGATATTCATCTATAAACATCATTGTAAATATTCTTTTGAGAATCAATAAAAGTTAAATTATTTTTACAATTATGGTTTGGCGTTGACTTCGATCTTGAGGGCATTAGCTCCATCTATAGGTGTTGGTGTGTTGCTTCCTGGATAAATGTAATGGTGCTGACTCCATTGAATACTAGTCTATTAAATTTTGTTGCTACCATTTTCATCGTTGCTCCTCTTATTGATGTTTTCTCTCGATTCCTAAATCATTGTCTTAGCTCTTATTTCCTCTCTTACTCTCTATTTGTCTTCCTTTTATTTGGATAGATAATTGTAAAGAAATTTTATTAAAGTGAGGCCAAGGATCAAAGTTTCGATACGATACGCCCTGTATTGGGTGTATCGTATTGTATCTTTTGGGTTTTGAACTACCTATTTATAGGTGTTTTAGGAACCCTCTTTTTTGAAATAAAAAAATATATAAAAACCTACCCAAAAACCAATTTTTGAAAAAACAACTAAAAAATATAAAAGTGCATGGTTTTTAGTATCAATACACCTCTATTGATACATAGAGGTGTATCGATAATTTGAACTCGAAGAGATATATTGTTACGGTCCTAAATGGTTAAAGTGCTTGGCTTGATGTGTTCCATTAGTCTTAAGGCTTTTGGCGTATTGGTCAAGCACACAACATTTGGTATGAGTCAACCACTGTGTATCCAGTTCGAATCATGGAGAGGACTACTTGGGAGAAGGGCTACCTAGAGTAAAGTGAAAGCTGTCGTGGAAAGGCCGAAAGGGCTACTTGGAGTAGAGTGAAAACTGTCATGGAAAGGGCTACCTGGAGCAGAGTGAAAGCCACCAAAGAGAAAGGGCTACTTGCCGCTAGAGTGTGAGCAGTCGTGGAAAGGGCTACCTACCGCCAAAGTGAGAGCCATCATGAAGAGTGCTACCTACCACTAGAGTGAGAGCTGCCTAGAGTGAAGCCACCGAGACATCGACTATAGAAGCATAGTGGTATGTTATGGTCCTAAATGGTTAAAGTGCTTGGCTTAACGTGTTTCATCAATCTTAAGGCTTTTGGCCTATTGGTCAAGCACACAATAGAGTGAAGCTGATACACGGAGGTGTATCGATACTTTGAACCCAAAGAGATATATACAGTAGTACAAGCACTCCCAAAGGGAGGAGCGAGCTGCCACCTCTCAAAGGAAAAACCAGGAATTTACAATTGTACCCAATATAACTATCCCCAATCAATCCCTTGTTTGCTAAGGTATCAGCCATCCCATCAGCCGATCTTAGAACCCACTGAATTTGTATGGACATGTTGCCGGTTAACCACATGAACTTCTTAACTTCATCCCTGTATAACCACACCACAATCTCTGGATTCCTTAGCCAGCCCACCACCACCTTAGAATCCCCTTCAATAACTAATCTTTCAATGTTTGAATCTCTTGCCATCTGCACCCCATGAGTTATGGCAAATATTTTAGTCCTTCAGGAGTCCTCTACACCTTTTAGACTGGAATACACAACTATTATATTGCCCTCTTAACTTCTGCAAACTCCCCTTACTCCTAAAGGTCTTGGGCTACCTTGACTACTCCCATCAAAGTTTAGTTTGATAAAGCAGTTTGTAGGAGGTAGCCATTGTCTTTGTAATTGCTTCTTTTTTGAAGAGCTTCTTGCCACCTCCCCTCAATTTCTCCAAACGTCATCATAAGGGAAGAAAGAAAAGCTGTTCAAAGTTCTTACCCAATGAATCACCCTGGTCATGGTACATTCCATCACTACTTCATTGCTTCTTTCCTTCTCTGAAAACTCTTGCATTCCTTTCCTCCCAAACAGTCCAAATTAATGTTGCCCTTGTGCATCTCTACAATATTCTTCTCATATTCCTCGGCCAAACAAAAAAGGACGGATCAAATGACCTATTCATTCCTGTTAGCATGGTCCACTTGCACCCAAATAAACAAAAAAAAAAAAAAACCACTCCCAAATACAAACAACAAATGGGTAGGAGATTAATAGATGGTAATAGGTCTTACCATTGGCTTTGCAGAGAATGCACCAGTTAGGGAAAAAACATGCATTAGGTATCCTCTTTTGCAAGATGTCCAAAGTGTTAATCTTCCCATGAAAGACTTCCCATCAAGAAACTCCATTTTTTGGAGGGTAGGGGGTGCCTGCACCAAATATTTTTATAGGGAAAAAAGATTGTGAGGGAGGACAAGAGCAAAGAGATTTGAAAAATGAAGTACAAGAAAAAAAAAGACCTTTGGGACTGGGGGTTCTAGATACACTTGTTGGCATTAGAGGGATCCATCCAACCTTATCAAGAATTTGCAAAAGCTCAATTGTTGACTCAGATTCACCCTCCCTCAAGCCCCTTCTAAAACCGAGATCCCAATTAAAACCATTTTAAAGGAGTAGGAATGACAAAAACTTTGAGATGGGCTTCTTTTTATACAAGGAAGAAAAAAGATACTCAAGAGCTGAATTTTCCACCCAAAGGTCTTCTCAAAACATTATTTTAATTAGAAGAAAAACAACCTTTTGAAAAGAAAGGACTGTTTAAAAAGTTACAGAAAATCAAAAGAAAGTAGCAGAAATCAGGTTTCAGGAAGAGAGAAGAGGAAGAAGAAGGTGGCGGCAACTAGGGTTCAGAGAGAGATTTTCAAACATAATCTCCTCTTACACTCCTAATTCCATTTCATTAAGTTAAACTTTAATAATTTACAAAGAGGCCCCTGGTTGGGTAGAAAATTAAAAACATAACATAAGAAAGAATAAGAGCCCAGATTAAGGTCCATTACAGCAAAGAACATAAAAGGTAAAAAAAGATAAACAGCCTATGGGCCATTCGGCCCATCTTCTCTACACTCCCCCTCAAGCTGAGCATAGATGTCAATCATGCCAAGCTTGCCAGTATCATGCTGAAGTTTAACCTTTGGAATGCCCTTGGTGGGGAAATCATCTAACTGTCCTTCAGAAGTGATGAAAGGTAGACACACTTCTCCAGAAGTTACTCTTTCTTGAATGAAATGTCTGTCAACTTCAATATGTTTGGTTTTGTCATGTTGCACTGGATTGTGAGCAATGTTGATGACAACCTGATTATCACAGTATAACATCAATGGCTTATCATGCTCAATACCCAGTTCCTCCATCAAGGATCTAAGCCATAATAGTTCAGAAACTCCATGAGTCATGGCTCTATATTCAGCTCCGGCTAAAGATCGGGCAACAACTGGTTGTTTCTTGCTTCTCCAAGAGACAATATTACCTGCCACCAAGCTATAGTATCCAAAGGTAGATCTTCTGTCATCAATATTTCTGGCCCAATCAGCATTTGTGTAGGCTTCAAGTTTCATATGACCATGCTTATCAAATAGAATTCCCTTTCCAGGGGAACCCTTCAATTAACATAGAATCCACTTTGTTGCTGCCATGTGAGTGTCCCTGGGAGCATGCATGAACTGATTAATGCAACTGACTGCATATGCAATGTCTGGCCGAGTCATGCATAGATAGAGAAGTTTTCCAAGTAGCCTCTGGAAGACTCCCTTACCTTTCAACAATATTCCATCTGAAGCAGGGAGTTTATGACTCGTATCAATAGGAGTAGCAACTGGTCTAGCACCTATCTTCTATGTTTTAGAGAGCAAGTCAAGTACATACTTTCTCTGAGAGATAAGGATCCCATCTTTGGATCTAGCAACTTCTATGCCAAGAAAGTATCTCAATTCCCCTAGATCTTTGATCTCAAACTCTGTATGAAGGAAAGATTTGAGATCATTAATCCCTGATACATCATTACTAGTCACAACAATATCATCAACATACACAATCAGGTAAATTGCTAAGGATCTTTGCCTCTTCACAAAGAGGGTATGATCATACTGAGTCTGTACATAGCCAAAG